GAAGAAAGGTGTTTCTGCAGGTTTTGGAGAGGAGACAACTTTTGACCTGGAATATTTTGCAGGGGGTCTTTTGTGTTTTGTTTTCTTTCCTCACACCATTTCTTCTTCTTCTCTGATTATGGTACAAAACTCTTCTATACTTTGTGAAGTCTCATGTCATAAAAAGTAAACTCCTAGTTAGCTCCTACATAAAAATCACTGGGACTAGGGCTAATCTCCTTAAAGCTAATGGTCCTGAGGTCAACAGGGCCTCACCCCTTATGTACACATTGGACTTCCCAAGAAAGCCCATGGTCAATTTGCCTGAGCAAAGAGACTGGCATTGGATCCCAAGACTTTTGAGATTTACACCTATACCCTGAATGAGTTCGCACAGTGACCCAAGGTAATGCAACAGTTTTGGTTAACAACTCAGCTCCTGCCCACTTCTTTACAAAAATGATAAGTAAGGTACATTCTTCTGAGGTTTACCTGAGTCATGCTGAACATGTTTGCATATACCCTGAAATTCCATAATATAAATACGAATATTAAGACACCACACAGTGGGTGAGAGATTGCAATTCAGCTTGGGTTGTGTCTGGTTTAAAAATTTTCATTTGTTTACTTGTCTTCTTGAAATGAACAAAAACATCAAAAGATTCCATCTTTTCTTGACAAAACAGGAAAGTAAAATGGCTGTTTGGCAGTTAATATTCTTTCTAACAATTCTATACTATGGATGGTTACCACCCACCAATTCTCACCTCTCCCAGGAATGAGTTGTCCCTGGAAGAAAATGGGTAACTGCCTTCAGTTGATGTGCTCTTTCTCCTTTGTGTTCAAGGCAATCTACCAAACAAGGAATTTAATTGTAAAATTGTTAAAAAGCATGTGTTTTGAGGTCTCCTATACTAAATGGGAGGGTTAAGAAACTGTTTTTACTGACTCTTCAGATGTTAACCAATTTGAAAAACCTGTAACTCTATACAACATAAAGAAGGCCCTTTATGGACTAAATCAAATTTCTACTTAAAGAAATCTGCTCACTTACCATTTACATGTTTGCCTCTTCGTTTTTTGATTCTCAAGTGAGTCAAGATTATGATATAACCTGTGCTTTGTTTCCACCACAGTGGAATCTAAACCTGATGTACAATTTCATTTTGGAGAAACAACTGTCCATCAGCCATATTCCAGAAGAATATACCATTGGTTCATTTGATTTTGCTAGGCTAACTCACTAACACACTCCAAATGAACCTTTAACTGATAATCAGTACTCAGTTCTCAAGGGGGGAGCAAGGGAGGGCTGTGCGCAGATGGGGAAGGAGAGATGCAAAAACAAAAAGCTTTCCTAGCTACAATCTGACTTCTCTAAATCTGAGGACAAGGGAATTAATGTCTTTGGTCTCTCGAATTCAGATCACTTGAGGTGAGTTAACCACTTCAGAGATGCTGGGATGGCTAACAGCCCTGGTGGGACCCAACCCTTCCACTTGCCACCCTATTGAACTAGGGCCCTGAAACACTGGAAGAGCTGAGCTATGGCTATTAGCATGTCAGAAGTCTCTCCTTCTGGAGAAAACAAGTATTCAGGACATGAGCCACGAAAGCTCAAGACCGAGGATGGGGATTCAAAGGTAAAAAGCCCACTAAAATAAAATGAAGTAAGTAAACCAAAAGATAGTCATTCCTTAATAGGCAGTTTTGTTAAGTGCACCTTCAGGTCTACAAAAACATTTCAGCACATTACAGTGCAAGGGGTAGGTAAGAGCTTTGTCAAACTTTGCATGCCTATGCTACACAGATAATCCCTGTACTCCATTCCTACTGACTTGGTTGCAATGAGCTACAGATGGATAAGCAGCATTCATTTCCCCCCTACCACCCAACTTCATAACAACTCATCCCAGATCCCAGGCTGACAGGCTCATGCATGCAGCGCTTTTTCCTGTAACACATGCAGAAGAACCCCAGTCCAGCAAATCTATGAGAGGTATACCGGGTAGCCAAAGCCAGTCTCATCAGTCTTGGTCCCATTTTTCTCATCCTCTGACCCATCCATCCCATAGTACTGAGTGGATTATTGCTGTTGACAGAGTGCAGCGTTTCAAGTTCTGTGTGTCTTAGACCTCAAAGTCTAATTAAAAGATCAAGATATCCCCAGAAATTTGGGGGAGGTTGGCTTTTTTTTTTCCCAACTGGTGACTTTTAAGCAGGTAGGAGAGGAATAGCCAGGATGAGTCAAGGTTCAAAAGAGAAGGAAACATCACGGGGGAGGGTTTAATGCCCTGTGGTCAGATGCTGTGCAATCCTTGGCCCCTTGTCTTCCGTGATGTTACATCAGTCTTACAGATTCACAAAAGCCGCACGGGAAAACAAAATATCCATGTTCTTTCTTTCAACTGAGTCAGCCAGCCTGGGTGTTACTCTAGCTTCTTGGTTTATTGCCTCACTGCTAGTTCTAGGATAAGGTGGGGGAAGGGCTGGAAGTAACAGGGAAGATTTCCAGAAGAAGCAGGGCAGGAATGTAAGGTGGGCAGCAGCAGGCAGCCACATGCTAAGTGCAGAATGAAGATTCCCCACCTTGGTGTCCTTAAAAGGCTGTGAGTGCCTCTCCATTGGTGGACAGCTGCTGGGCCCCCAAAGGCCTATGTTATGTGACTCTCTTTCAGCTAGACTCAGGGTCCCCACCATTCTCTGGGCTGAGTGCCTGGGGCAGCAGAAGTTAGATGCTCACCCTGTGAAGTGACTGCCAGGCGGAAAGATCACAGGAGCATCATAGAAAATATCTAAAAGGAGTGGGCCAGGAGGGAAGGCCCAGGAAAAGTTATTATGAATTCAGTGTTCCCACATCCACACTGATGCCTGAAAAGATCAGACAATCAGAGATTTGCAGAGTGCTCTTGCTAACAGAAGAGAAATAAGGAGCTTTGCATGGAACACTACGCTGGACCTGAGGAAGCCTTGCAAGTCCAGAGCGGCCCTTGATAGAAAACAAATTCCCCAAAACTGAATATTGGCTTCTGGTGGAGGAGAGGGAAGAAAAACAAGTTCCCGGTTCATGTCCAGTTCGAAGATGGGTCTCGGGTCCCAGTTTACATCCCAGATCAGGCTGCCAAAGGGACCAAGTCCAGCGGATGGCCAGAGAGACAGCACCCTCCTGGATCTCTCCTCTCCCAGGTTTCAGATGGTGTGGTCTTCTCACAGTGGTGAAGTGAGACAGGGAGGGTGGAAATAGCAAAAGCAAAATATCTGTGCCTCAACCCTTCCTCCCTTTTATTACATAACATCTCAGCTGTATTAATGGAGGCACTTTCTGCAGTTCACTGTGGGTACAGGATAAAGGCACTAAGCAACTATTAAATCAATTGGTTGAGTTTCTTCAGGGAGCCTCGAGGGGAGGGCTGAAGTCTGTACAGACTTCAAATCATGACTGCAAAAAGAAATCAGCTCTGCTTTGGATGCATACAAGAGATAAACATGTTCATTTACATCCTAAGAATGCACCAAAAAACATGCAGTATTGCACCTTTTTTGTTTGTTTGTTTTGCTTGTGTTTATTTTCAGCTAGAAAGAATACTTGTTCTTAGGTGTTGCTATATATACCTTGATGACTTATTTAGTTTTCCACATAGCTTCCCTTTAAGGGATGGGCATATTGGTCCTCTCTCTGCCTACACCTGCACAGAAACCTGACATTTCCCTGAGCAAAGGCAGGAAAATCAACTGAGTGTCCCCCACCCCCCACCCCCCATTATTTCTTTTGGGTCTTCATCCCATAAACTTGTAATTTATATGATTTAAATTTGTTTACTGAAATCATGCATTAATTAATTCAAGGTACACCTTAATCAAATAGGCCATAATGCTGAATAAGAGAACATGCTTTGAGCTCCAAAAAGTTATTGTTCCCATCTGACTAACGTATGCACTTAAATACAGTACTTTATTTACTAATAAAATAGTGGATAAATGAAGGAGTGCACTTTCGGTGAATGCAAATGAAAAAGGATGTATTTTTAGAAGAGTTGATTCCAACGTAAGCTTATCCCTTATTGTCTGAGTTAACGTCCTTGGCATGCGATTATAAAATAAATATGATCAGATTCAAACATGCTTACATTTAGTTCCGTTTGTGCTCTCTTGCAATAAGGAGGCTAAGGTTTTACATCCAGTTCTGGAGGCCAGGGTTCAGAGTGCAGGACTGGTGAGAAAAGACCTGTGTTTGGCTCACCTGCAGTTGAGGAACTTAGCAGCACTGCAGATGAATCAATTAATGTAATTCAGTTATCTTTTTCGTAGAGAAGAGTTTGGATTAGAAGGGGAATGGGGCAGAGGGAATATCCCTAAAGACCAGGACCAGTATCAGATTTATAAGGTGCTTCATGAACCAGTCTTAAGTAAGTCTGCATGTGTGTGAGTGTGTTTTCATCTTGTCATCTACAGTTAGGTTGGTCAAAATAAAAACAACATTTGTTCATTGCCCATTTTGGCTGGTATATCATGTTACATATAATACATCAGATGCACTGTCTTAAATGTGCTGTGCAGTTTGCAAAAGTTTTATAATGGAGTCCCATGCAAACTGAAATTTTATATTTCTAAATGATCATCTGGTTTCTAGTTAAAAGAAAAAAAAATTAAAGAAGCCAAAGGATTAAAAAAGTCTCAGTATGGGGAAGCATATGAATCTTAGTTTACCTAGACTAGCTCATGGACTGAATTGTTTTAAACCAGTATTGGAAAATACACTTTCTTTTCCCATTTTTTTAATAAAATGAAAATAGCTTCTCTTTTCTTGTATCTTGAAAGCTTCTGGCTCGTCATCCCCCCAAATCCGCAATGCAACAATGCATTGACAGTTAAATAGAGCATTCAGAGACTAATTAGTAAAGTATCTACAAACAGTGATGTCAGTCACTAGGGTTTTTGTTGTCTGGTTTTTTGTTTTGTTTTGTTTTGTTTTTAAGTCTTTCAAGCTACTAAGTGGGGCTTTTGTTTGTGTGTTTGCTTGCTTGCTTGCTTGGCTTTTTAAACATCGGTCAGTAGCTTGCTCTTATTAACGCAGTTTTGGTTAGCTGTGGTACAGTTGCCAGTTCTGATATTGGCCTGTCTATAATGGGCTATGCTATTATTCATATCCTCTTCGATCTCCATGTACTCAGATTTGCTGATAGTGGAGGAGCTGCGCCGACTGAGGTCACTGTCAGAGGCTAAATTAGGGGAACTAACGTGGAGCAACTGAGCCTGCTCTTCCCCCTCAGTTTCTCGGTGGTAGAAATAGTTGAAATTGGACACAATGACAGGTACGGGCAGGGCAATTGTCAGCACACCAGCGATGGCACACAAGGAGCCCACGATCTTGCCTCCAATTGTCACAGGGTACATGTCACCGTATCCTACAGTGGTCATGGACACCACCGCCCACCAGAAAGCATCGGGGATACTGGAGAAGTGCGACTCAGCTTCTTCCGCCTCGGCAAAGTACACTGCACTAGAAAACAGGATTACCCCAATGAAGAGGAAAAAGATGAGCAGCCCTAGCTCTCTCATACTAGCTTTGAGGGTCTGGCCCAGGATCTGGAGGCCCTTGGAGTGGCGGGAGAGTTTGAAGATTCTAAAAACCCTTACCAACCGGATGACCCTGAGGATGGCCAGCGACGTGGCCTGCTCGCCCTTCTGGTTTCCCTCCTGCTCGGCTATCTCGGTGCCTAGGGTGATGAAATAGGGGATGATGGCCACAATGTCGATGAAGTTCATGATGTTTTTGAAGAAGTCTGTCTTGCTGGGGCAGGCGAAGAAGCGCACCACCAGCTCAAAGGAGAACCAGATGATGCACAGGGTTTCCACAATGAAGAAGGGGTCCGTGAAGATGTTGGAATTGTAGATAACCGTGGTGTTATCGATGCGGTGCACGGTGCCTGTGAAGTCCTTGTCATCCTTCAGCTCCGGTAGAGTCTCCAGGCAAAAGATGACAATGGAGATGAGGATGACCATGACCGAGACGATGGCGATGACCCGGGCGGGCCCCGAGCTCTCAGGGTACTCGAAGAGCAGCCACACCTGGCGCTGGTATTCCTTTTCGGGCAGGGGGCGCTCCTCTTCCTTGATGAAGCCCTCGTCCTCCCGGAACTTCTCCATGGCCTCCTCGCCCAGCTCGTAAAATTTGATCTCCTCAGAGAACATGTCCAGGGGCACGTTGACCGGCCTCCGCAGGCGGCCCCCGGACTGGTAGTAGTAGAGGATGGCGTCGAAGCTGGGCCGGTTGCGGTCGAAGAAGTACTCGTTCCTCAGAGGGTCGAAGTAGCGCATGCGTTTCTTAGGGTTGCCCAGCAGCGTGTTGGGAAACTGCGCCAGGGTCTTGAGTTGCGTTTCGAAGCGCAGCCCGGAGATGTTGATCACCACGCGCTCGCAGCACTCGTGGTCGTCGTGCTCCGCCGGCCGGGGGTAGCTGCCATCCTGGGGGTGGCCCGGGGCGGCCGAAGCCTCGTCCACGTTCTCTCCAGACATCACCGTCATTGTGGAAGCAGGGCGCAGGGGTGAGAGACCAGGAGAAGGCCGGGGGTGGGAAGCAGCGGGAGAGGAGGGGTGGGGGGGACCCAAGCGCCCCCCCCCACCGGAGTGCGCAGCTTCCCCACGCTCAGGGGAAAGGGCTTCAAAGCCAGCAGGTGGAGAGATCTGTGACTTCACTTCTCCTTACCTTCCCCTCCACCCTGCCTTTTACTCAGTTTGGAATCCCACTCGCCTGCGGCCCTGGGTGTAGCTTTTTGCCGAGGGTGGGGTGGGGGGGAGGATTGGTGTATCTTCCTGCTCCGAGGTGCCTTAGCGCAGTGCCGTTCTAGCGGACCGGGCCACCACTTCGGGGGTCACCCTGTCCTCCCCTCCCTTCCGTGAGCCCTCCTAGGACCGGGTGCAGAGCCAGCTCAGCAGATCCCCTCGCCTGCCACCCCCTCTGCTTCTCCTTGGCTCTCCCCCCCTCCTACCCCTCTTCGCCTGCCGCCTTCTAAGCTCCCACCAGGGCGATCGATGGACGCTGCAGAGAAATAGAAAGTGATACGGGGGTAGAAAATCAGAAGCATTCAGATGGGACGGACCTACAGACACCGAAGAGCACAGACCTCTAGCTTTTTTAGAAAGCACTGGACTTTTGCTAGGGTTAGCACATACACACAGACAGACACACGCAGACACCCGGAAATCCAAGTTTGGGCTCTTCCATCCCACTTTCCCCAATGCCCGACAACCGATCTGTTTACAACTTCGTTAAACTAAAGATCGGGAAAGCGCCGAGAGACGCCGGGGGAGTTCCAGGTGCCGGGCAGCATCCCCACACCCTCTGCTTCCCCCACCCCGCGCCCCTGCCCGCGCTTCTGCAGCCCCGGACTGGGGAGCCCCCTACCTGGCCGGCCGGCTTGGCGCAGGGGCGGTGCTGAGTCGGAGGAGAGCCCCAGTAGGAATGCGGCAGGTCGCCTTTGCAGTACCCGGGCGGGAGCGGCGGCCGGAGCCGCGGCAGCATCTGAGAGGCGCCGGGGCAAAGTCGCCGCCCTCACCCCCTCGTCCTACGCCCCTTCAGTGGGACAATCGATTGAGCGAGCCGCTACGGCGGAAATGTCCGTTCCCTTCCCCCATTCTCACCGGTTGCCAGCAACCTAGAGATGCCGTCCTCTCGCTGGTGCAGGGAGTTCCGGAGGATGCGGGGCGGAAAAGCAAAATGCCACCCTCTCCCGAGGCTCGGAAGCAAATGACGATAAACAGCACTCTCGCCCCCTCCTAACACTATGGGAGCCCCTGATTCAATCCCGAAGGAGGCGGGCGAGCAAGAGCCTGGATCTACATGGCTCTCGGATCTCCTCCGCTTCCCGCACCCCAGCGTGGACCTCGCCGAGGCTACGCGGCGTGCCGGGAGCGGTTAGGATCTCCGAGTGGGGCAGGGTGCGTGCGGCGGCAGGTCCGCTCGGTCCATTTCTGGGCGCTGCAAGATCAGCAGAAACCTGAGAAAGCGCCTGGAATGCGGAGCAGCGATTGGCCCACTCGGGCGTGGGTTGGGGAGGGCGGGGGAGGGCAGGAGCGAGGAGGTAGATGGAAAATATGAGGGGGTGGCTTGGCAGAGGGGGGTTGTCATTCAGTTCCCACCCTTACCAGCACAGCTTTTTCCTCCTGCTGCCAGAAAAGCCGACCACCAATCTACTTCCCTTATGGTGCACAGCCCCGCACACGCACGCTCCCTGGCCGCGACCTTCCCAAGGAATCGCACGTTGGAAATGGTCAGGTCCGACGCAATGCAGGCAGCGGTGCTCCTGGCAAAACTCCTCAGATGGGCTTGCGTTTGTGCAGTCCCACGGTAATCGGCTTCTGCCGCCTTGCTCTGCGTGCCATCCCGCCCCTCCCGCTGGGGTCTCTCTGCAGGGGTGACCCAGCTTGTCTCCCCTGGACTGGGAGAGATGCGCACTTTGGGGAGAGCTCTGCAGTTGATCAACTGGGTTTATCTGTGTAGTGTTACTGCGAGGCAGTGGTGCTGAGTCTGTCCCCCCTTGACCTAGGATGGGAGTTGAAGTTTTCTTACGATCAGATTATTTTGAAATACGGAGAATTAGATTTGTGGGCAACCAAAGGCTTCGTGGGTTTGTGGGGTTGTCTGCCAACTTGGTGCTAATTGGAACGAATCTGAGAAGCAAGTCGCCTGCCCACCTCCCACCTACGTCCCTCCTCCCGCAGCCCCTTTTCTCGGCCTAGTGCCTCCACAAAGCCTCTTGCAAGGCTTGCAACTTCTTCGGAAAGGGTCCGCACAGAGGCGCAGGGCAACACGAGCCGGGGCGTGCGCGGTGCTCTCGGAGTGCCGCTACAGCTGCTCCCCCAGAGGCGCTGCGCCTCGGCGACCGCAGCGCACCAGGAGGCAGCCTGCAGCTCTGGTACCTCGACTGCTACGGAGTCTCCAAGGAGGACGCAAGAACCCGGAGTCGCCGCTGATTGGTTCCCCTGCTGCATTGGGACCACCCTTCCCACCACCGCGGATCGCGTTGCTTCCCGCCTACACCAGCCACCACTTTAATCAAAGCCAATGATTGTATCCTCCCCACTCTATTGTGGCTTGTGGAAAGCAGAGGCCTGTGCAGGGTTGCCCAGGCAGTGCAAAGATCCTGGGTACGGAACTAGTTAAATCCCTCCTCCAGATTCAGACTCCAGCATTCCTTTCAGAAAAAGAAAAGTACTTGTTCCCTCCACACCTCCGGATCCATACCCCGACTTATCTTTTACGAACAATGAGTTCTCCTAAACTCCAACGTCCCATATTAAACGCTGCCCTTTCCCCACCTTTCACACACAATATTCCTGTATCCTACAAACTCCACGGTCCCCTGCCTTTCTGCGGTACTGCTTTATTACAAGAAGGAGGGAAGGGAGGGGAGGGAAGCGGGGGGGGGGGGGGAGAAAAGAAAGAAGGAGCTGTGGACTGAAACACTGTCAAGTCCCCAGTTTCTGCTGCTGCTGTTGCTGCTGTTACAGCCCCATGGGAGTTTACGCTATTAGACCTGATGAACACTTTCTGACCATGTCCCAGCAATACTGGGCTTCCCTATCCTGCTTTTGTGCCTCCCTCTGCCTATAGCACCCTTCTTTCTTTTAAATGCCTCTAAGGCTGTCATCTCCCTAGCATCATGTGGATTGCACTTGCCCCAATTCAGCATTTAGAGATTGTCTTACTAAAAATGATTTGCAGACTGCATGGGATCCCAGGTTCCTAAACTCAGGGTTTTATTAGGAGGCACAATAAAATCTGGAGGTTTACACCATTCCTAGCAGGTGTGTTTAGAGCAGGACTGTATCTCCAAGGAACTGGAAGAAGGATATTGAGCTAGGAGCTCATAGTTCCTTTCTTTTGGGGGCGGGGGGGGGGGGGAAGCAGAGGAAGAGGGAGAGAATCTTAACAGACTCCAGAGCCCAAGGGAGGATCAATTTCACAACCCTGAGATCATGACCTGAGCCAAAATCAAGAGTAAGTCAGCTGCTTAACCGACTTAGCCACCCAGGTGCCCCAGAACTCTTCATTCTTTCAGGTAGCCCACAGTTGGTAGGGGTCTAAAGATATGTATTCACTCAAATATTTGCTTAGTCCAACCTTTGTGTCAGTCATATTCCAGCATTGCAGACAGTAATAACTATGACATGTGAGGTCCCAGAACTCATGGAGCTCACATTCTGGTGAGAGACAGACAATAAAAAAAAAAATAAATAAACCACACATTATAACATTAGGTAAAGAAAATTAAGAGAAGGGGATCTGGAGTAACAATTATAGATCTGCATGGACAGGAAGGGCCTTTGCAGAAGTAACATTTGGACAAGGAAATTCAAGAAGAGAGAGAAAAGGGAATAGGAAAAACAGAAGCATAGATGTAGGAGCAAAGGCAAAGATCCCAAGGCAAGCCTAGTATATTTGGGAAACAAATGAGCACCAATGTGGTTAGAAAGAAGTAATGAAAGGAATGTTGTAGAAGGTAGGTCAGAAAAGTAGGCAGGGACCAAACCATGTAGAGCCTCTTGGGCCACTGTACAAATATTTCATTTAGAAATATAATATGTTCCATGTCATAATATAATATGATTTGCCACTTTTAAAGATTATTCTGGCTACTGGAAATAAGGCATGAGATTGGAGGTTATTAAGTGGCACAGGCAATGATGGCTTAAACAAGCAAGGTACTAGTAGGCTTGTGAGTAGTGGTTGGAATAGAATTACATTTTGAAAATAGAGATGGCAGAATTAGGGATGTGGGGGGAAGAAACATTTCAAGAACATCTCCTAGGTTTGTAGCCTTAGTAACTAGGTGGATGGTGATGTCATTTACTGGAGTGGATTGGACAGCTTCTCTTTCACCAGAATATGAGCTACATGAAGTGTTAGACCTTGTGGGTCTTGGTTATTACTGTAGTGGACAGCTGAGGCCTCTCCTCAGATGCTTTCTGCCTTTCCATTCTTCTTGCCCTGCGGCCACTCACCCTACCTCAGCTGCTGCTGGAACACCCAGCTGTGCATGGGCAACAGAGTTCTGCCTCCTGGGGTTGACCACACTGTGATGATTTGGGTTTCTCAAGACTGGAAGAAGGTCCAGGTGAACAACACAGCCATTTGGATGCATTAATTCAATGGACCAGTGGGAGCTTGCCCAGTAGGAGATATGAAATATTATGGAGCCTATAGGTAAATTCCTTCTCCTTTAATCTTTTCAGAGATGAACAACCAAAATAGTCTAGTGACAGGGCTGCATCTCTTTGTGCCTCATGAAGCATTTGACAGCTTGGTAACTCACCACCTTGTATTTGTACCCTAACTTCCTCATCTCGCTTCCCATTTTCCTTAATTTCATTGCACGGGGGATCACACCTTCCATTAAACCATAAGTCTTGCCTTGGGTTCTGTCTTCTAGGGAACCTGAGCTGAGGCAGAAGGAATCCAAACTTCAGCTAAGTTTGAGCTATCTGTTAAATATCCAAATGAAGATGTTGAGTAGGAAGTTGGGTATGTGAGTCTAGAGTTCAGAGAGAAGATCTGGGTAGATCAGGGTTTGTCAACCTTAACACATTCATCTTTGGAATGGATCCTTCTGGTTGTAGAGGGTGTTTTTGTTTTTGAAGTTTAAGATGTTCTGAAGCATTCCTGGCCTCTACTCACTAGCTGCTAGTAGCACCTGCTCCCAGTTGTGACAACCAAAAATGTCTATAGACACTGCCAAATGTCCCCTGAGGGACAAAATTACTCCCACTAGGAACTACTGGGGTCGATGGTAGTTAAAGCCAGAGCGCTGGACTAGAACACTTGGACATGAAGGTAGAAAGAGAAGAGGAAATGTTCAGGAATTCCACGTCAGGATATCCTAATTTTAGGAGGCAAAACCAGAAGAAAGAGCCAGTGAAGAATGACTGGTAAGGTATGCAAACCAAGATAATGTAGGGTCTGCCAAAGAAAATGAGTAGTATTTTTAGGAAAGACAGATCAATTTTGTTAAATACTGCTGATAGAATGAATAGAATGAGGAACTTGCAATTGACTACTGGATTGAGAAAATTTGACTTCGTTAGAGATTGAGAGAGAAGAACTGATTATAGTGGGAAAAATCAACTCTCGGAATTTGGGGGTAAATGGGGAAAAGAAAAATGAAGTTGAAGCTGAAGGAAGTTAAAGAGGGGCAAGTCTTTTTTTTTTTTTAAAGATGAGAGCTATTACAATATGTTTGTATGCTGATAGGAATGATTCAGTAGAAAAGGAAAAATTGTTGATGCAATAGAAAGAGAAAAATTGGAGCAATGTTCTTGAGAAGGCAAGAGGAGAATGGGATTGAAGATCCAAAAGAAGGGGTTGGCCTTGGAAAAGGACAGTTAGTCTAAAGAAAACGGAAGAGGGATAGCAGAGTTCAGACACAAGTAATTTAGTAGATGCAGTTGTGAGAATTGGTAGACTTTTACTTATGCAATCAGAAGTAATTTTCTCAGTGAAAAGGGAAGCAAAGTCATCCACTAAAAGTGAAGATGGGAAGGAGGTCTTGAAAGATGTGGGGAGGGGCAGGAAATGTGAAATAACCACCCACAAGAATAGGAAAGTGAAAGGATTAGGAAATGTAGCAGGATGGCCTGGCAATACCAAGCTCACTTGTGGTGACAAACCATGTATTTCAGGGTTCAGTCCTTGAGTATTTGAGATAAACCTGGAAGTGAGTCATTATAGAATTAGTTCTGATGATCTTTCTTGGAAAAATGTGAAACTAGTTCTAAATATAACCTCCTTCTTAGGATGGATCTCTTAAGTACTAGGTACTGATAAGGCAAGATATGACATGAGAAGTGGTCTTACCAGGCAAGGATATGCCCATGAGGACTCGCCTTAGATTCTGCTGAGGACAATGTCACAAGAAGAGGAGTGGAGGTCTTTAAGGTATGAGGTATAATTGTAAACAGTAAAATAGAACCACTAGCAGGCAGGAAGGAAAGTTCAGAAGTTCACCAAGGGTTTAAGGTGACAATGAATGGTGTGGATGGCTCCATTAGTCAGGGGTCCTCTTGATGACATTGG